GCAACGGGGCGGGGCGGGTACGGGTTTCATGATACCCGTCCCCGTCCCCGCAAGTTAAACTCATCCCCGTCCCCGTCCCCATAACCGTCGGGTATAGATTTTCATCCTCATCCCCGTCCCCGTCAGGTATCGGGTATACCCGTACCTAAACCCTAAACCTGTCAATTTTTTTATTTTTTATTTTTTATAAAAAAATGATATTTTTAAATTATTTTTTTTATTATATTATAATTATAATTAAGTTATTTCTTTATCTTATATTATAATAAATAATCATACATAAAAAATATTAAATTTTTTTAATATAATTAAATTGAAAGTGAGTATTAAATTAAAAATGAGAACGGGTACGGGTACGGGGCGGGTAAGTACATACTCGTACTCGTACCCGTACCCGATTTAATATATCGGGTTTTACCCATACCCGTACCCGTACCCGGTCAAACCGGGTATTCCCCGTCAAAGTCGGGACGGGTTCGAGTATTACTCGCGGGTACGGGTATGTTTGCCATCCCTAGTTTTGAGTACTTTAGCTATTATTAGTTCAACTATTTTTAAAATTTGTCAAACTCCATAAGAACACTGTTTTAATTTATAAAATCTTTAGAATAAGATCTTTAAAAGCTGGAGCTATGTGTGGTTTAATAAATAAAGAGGACCATTCATGATTTTTAGTTAAGCCATATGAGCTACAAATATTTTTAACAACTCATTTACGGAAAAACCAAAAAGTTGTTCAATGATACATTTAAATGAGGAAAAATACTTTTATTGTGAAATATGGGTTGGAAAAATAATTTAGATATAAAAAAATAAATATGATTTTAATCTTTTATAAAGTTACCATAAAATAATATAAAAATATATTTTTTTACACACAAATGTGTGTTATTATTTTTTAAAAAAATTTAAGGTCCTCCAAATTGTGGGCCTGGGCTGTCGCCCTTCGTCGCTGCCCCAGGGCGGCCCTAATGACGCGCTATGTTAATGGACAAGACTGTGGGCCTGTAGCCCATAAGCCGCTAACTTATGACTTGTTTGTCTGTTTCATATTATCTTGATTTTGTGGAACAAGACTTTTCTTCTAATCAGTTTCATAGTTTTTCATCAAACATTAACTTATGCCTCACAAAAGTAGTGGCCATTGTGAATCAAACTATGATTATATATTGGAGGGTACATATTCCTTTGTACACACACTAGACATACTTCAA